TAACAGATGGATGCTTCAATTCCGATGGGAACAGGCAATCTCTTAACAGCTTTCTCCAAATCGTACACACCATTTACAAAAGATTATTACAAGCCAAAGACAAGTTCATGTCTCTATAGCAGCTGCGCTAAACCCATGCTTCCTTTTTAATGAAGCAGCACATGTGTAATATTTCAGATAAATCACACTTTGTTCACACCTCTTGCATTACACCGTTTTGTGTGTTGACCGATATGGTTATTCGGATCTCCATAGTAACAGATCTGGTCCGGTCTGGCGCTGCAGACGAAGTGCAGCAGCGGTAAGAACATCAACAAAAGCACAGCAGGCACATGTGCAGAGGAGCCCTGACCTCCAACAGAGCGAAGGGAGGGGGGGGGGGGGGGGGACATGTCTCTCTCATTACAGCGGTGGAACTATAGTAATGGTCATGTCTTAAAGGTGCGTAACATTTCTGGTGGAGGGTCCATCAAACGCTTTTTTCATGGAGCCCACACCAGAGCAAGTTGCAGGTCAAATCTGTGGAGGAGCAACCCCCCCTTACAGTCAGAATGTGTGTTTTTCTAGGTATTTTTGAGCTATAAAACCACCTGTAACGTAGAGCTGTTTTAGCCAGGCTGACGCCACCTAGTGCCTCCGCTCAATTTCAATTCTCTCCAGTGACTAGGTCAGGAATCGGAATACACTAAACGGTTTGCAAGAACCCCGGAAGTTGTAGGCCGAGCACCAGCCAATCGCTGAAGAGCTGTGAAGCCATGACGTCAAACTCAAGCGCCTGTCTGGGTTCCTTTTGTGGTACAGCACAACAGTAAACAAACAGGTCGAGATGGATGTAGACGAAGACAGACATTCTGTGTTGGCAACAATTACCGAGATTGAGGATTTAAAGCTGGAAACAAGTTTGGTGAATTTTATCAAGGGGAAAGACTTTATTGCCCTTATTCCCACGAGATTTGGCACATTACATATGTCACGACCAAATAGCAGCCATAGGTTAAAGAAAAAGGTACCCACCTACGAACAAATCCTAATGCTGCGAGGTGAGATGGTTTCCACAAAGTGAAAACAGCTGATGAATCAGGGTAGAGCTGTTTAATGCCATGAGGTGAAACACTCCATGCAGAGCAATGGCATACCCATAAAAACAAGCAGGTGACGGACCCTCAACCAAAAACTTACACAGAGCACCTTCAAATCTATAATGGCGGTACGCTACATGTAAGAGGGTTTAGGTGAAGGAGCAGACAAGTACAAAAAAATTCTCCTCCAACATGAGTGGCCATGACATAGTTGGCTAAAATGTGAGAGAATATAGTGAGATGAGTCATTACTGCTGAACTTTGTGTCCTGGTCTGAGTGCACGATATGTATGGTACTTCACATTTGTTATTTGTTATAATAGCTTGTTGTTAAAAGTGAAGGATGGGGCAATTATAGCTGGTAGTAACAGAACTGATAAAAAAAAAAAATAAAAAAAAGAGGAGGGAGAAGATTGGGATAAGATGTTAACAGCTCAATGAGAGTCCACCGTCTCAAAAACACTAGAATATTGCCCAATATTGTTTATGAATCTGAAATAGTCTAGTCTAATATAGTTTCTAACATGAAATCATAGCCAATCACGAGCATGTGAAGGTGTTTTTGAGAGCATGTTAGAAAAGAATCTAGTGAGAAAGTGACACCCAGCACTTAATGTTACAACAAGCCCCGCCCAGAAGATGCACCTGATCCACCTTTATGTCTGAGGCAAAGGAAAACTCACGAGGAGTCAGACAGGAGGAGACGCCCCAGGTGTCAAGAAGGAAACGTAACACTCATTCTGCTCATCAGGGAGGTACTGTAGTGTCTCTTTCTGTCTGTTTAGAGCAAGAAGACCTTTCTAAATACTGAAAATAAAGCTGAGTTGCTAAAATTAGAATGTACCACTCTTTTGTCTATTTTTTTTGTCTCACAGCAACAAACAGGTGTCTTTTGAATACAGATCACAGATACATTTTCAACTATAACAGAAGTAAAGTGTTGGGCAGGTGTGACCTTAGGAGAGAGACACTGGATTTCTGAGTGTAATTCTCTTGGCTACAATCCCATAACAGTGTGCTTTGTGAGAGTAATGGAAACCAAAATACACCACTGTGCATGACAATCATCAAACAGGCCCTATCCAAGGTTACTTTACTTTAATACTTTAATTAGAACGGCTACAAAGAGATTTAAATGTGCAAATGCATGTATAGTGTGTGCTACGTTATGAACAAGTGTGCCAAAGAGCAAGGATTATACAGCTTTGAGTATTTTTACAGCCGTGGCCATAAATTTGATCTGGAGTAAATGCATCTGTACAGTTTTATAACGTAAATAACTCCTCTGGTGGAACGGCTTTGCAATAACAAGTCTCAAATTTACAAGAATACAGACCTAAACTTTGAGCATATCCTGTCATTCAAGATGTTTTTAGTCCAGCCCCACAGTTTATCTGATAAAAACCCCTCTATACTACATCATCAACACAGGAAAACAGGCTGCACATTAAAAAACAAGCAAAAGGTACTAGTACAGTTCATGTCAGTAAGTCTACAAATCAAACTATGCACAAATAAAACCAAACTAAGAACGAACCTGCCTTAAATAAACCAATTTACAATTACTGACAAAACAAGGCTTAAATACATTTTCCTTTCAGTATTCTGCAACCCCTTGCTAATTTACTGCCCCTGTAAAGGGGGCCAACTAACTTCCTGTATCCTGAATATCCTTCACTCTTTATTCTTCGCTCTTTTTTCCCATTCTGGCTGAGTTTTGTCCCAGATCCAAATACTGCTTTTATTGCTAACTCTGTCTGAAAACTAAAACATGGGAAGAAATGTGCTATCCTAAGCAGTTCTACTTTACTGCTGATCAGATGAGACAAAGAAAACATCCCTTGCAATGGGCCATGGTTTACAGCTGCCAGTGACAGACCATGACCAGAGCTACTGGAAGATTTTTTTTTACATATTTTGTTCAAATCATTGTTTTTAATAATTGGGCACAGTGTGCTTTCCTCCTGCTTTTTGGTCTCTGGTTGTTGCAATGGGCAAAGCTTCTGACAGTCTCTCATACACATATTCAAAGACAACCGTGTCCCAGGTGAAACAGCTTTTCCTGAAGATGAGACCCAGGCATAGGCTGGACATCTGAATTACACTGCTTCAGTCATACTTTTACAGAGTAACATGGAGGAGAAACCACTGTATAAAGTTCAATCTATTTAATGTCATTTTAATGGGTGTGCCACAGTCTTACATGCTTCACTTTTGTGAGTGAAACTCATACAATTACGTATTATTAATTTAAGTTATTATCAAAGATTATAATGTTTTACACAGCAAAAGATGACAATCGTCAGTGCTGGGCTTTTACTTAAAAGGATGCAGCTTTTGTAAGCAAAATGTCACATTACACATTATCATTCCAAGAGTCACTTGTTGAACACTCGTTTCTCCCAATAATGTTTATTACTAATGCACTATTTGACTTATAAAAGTTAATTTCTTTCCAGAGTAAAACCTCTAAATACTTTCCTGTCTGCAAAGTATATTAGCCACTGCCATTACACTAACGTTACAGTACCCAGCCCACAGAGCTGGGTGAACAAGTCCACAGTACCAGCACGTATTTAAAACACTGACTGATCGGCCTTGTCACAGCTCTTGTAAAAGTGCTTGCATATTGGCAGGGCAACACTAAGTGAAAACACATGTTGCACAAATGCATAGAGGAGAGGCCGAGTGAGCTGGTTCTGTTGATTGGGACTGTGTGAATCTAAAACCACTCTGATGAGTGCCAGCCAGTACAACAACGCAATGAGATACACATCCGGTATAGTGTGTCAAGATAAAATAAGCAAAACCTAGTTCACCAAGTGGTCCAAAATGCACCACTGCTCTTTTGTAATTGACATGTAATTCAAGGCAGATGTCCACTGAAATAAACCAGATACAAACCAAAATAAACGCACACTTTTCTCTATAATATTAATCTAATGTGAGGGAGAGAGGGAAGCAGGAATTTGGAAAATCTAACCACTGCTAGAGTTGCTCATAGATTCTTTACAACTATTGTGGGTTTCCTGTTTTGCTGAAATAGAACTATGGTTGTCCTAACTCCAGATTCTGCTCCAGTGACAGGGACCAGCCTCCTGACCTCTGCTGTTTCCAGTGACCTCTGACCTTGCATCTGGAAGCCTTTTTGAGCCTATCACATCCTGCCTCCCCCAGGACACAGAGGGCAGTGGCTAAATGCTGCTCGCCATACGCTGAAGGACTCACAACAGAATGGAAACTTGCATGACATCTTCTAATCTAATCTTCGACTTGCAAAGTTGAAAGAGAAAACAAGTCCGGGGGTGAAGACAGTGCTGAGCAACAGAGGAGCTGACTCATTACCTACAATCTGCCTGCTAACAAGTTTTTAACTCTCTTTAGGGAATGACAAATCATCACTTTCTCTGGCTAAATGTTCTTCTAAACTTCTTGAGTATAGGGCACAAGTTTTAGTTTTGCTTTTTATAATTCTCCTGTAATTAATTTTCAATATATAGGGAAAGTTGCATTTGCATTATTTTGACCAATCCTGTAATGCCATTGAGACACAATGTCTGGAAGATCCTAAATCTTGATCTAGAGATTGGTCAGGACAGGACTGGAGTAACTGGAGTATTAGATAAATATGCATGTTAACATAGATCGTTGAAACAGAAGTGCCCAAAGGAAACCCACCCAGTCACAGAGAGAACATGCAAAGTAGATATTCTCCATGTAGAAAACATTATGGAATGAAGTTATACTCCAAGATGGGAAGCAAGAGACAGTTTTCCCAATGACTTACACTCTAATTTTCATTAAAATATACAAAAGGTAAATGCACAAATGTTGGACCTATTAGTGACTGGACCCTTGAACTCTCTGATAAACACCATTGGTCTATAAAATGCTGTGATCTCTTCTGAAACCCAGCAATACCTTCTTGGCAGCCTTTGACGGCGACCTCCTGGTGGGCTTCTGCACGGGCTGCTTAGCCACGGAGCCGTTCTCTCTCTTCTTTGTGGGTGTTGAAGGGGCAGAGGGTGTGCTGGGACGTGGGGATGGCGCAGGGGTAGAAGATGAAGAAGAAGACTGGGGTCCACCTCCGAGAATAGCCATCTCTTCAGTTGCTGTGAGGTGCAGGCTGCGCAAACTTTCATATGTTTCCTGGTCCACTACAAGCAGCCTGGTCTCATTCTCTACCGCTTTGATCCGCTGTACCACCTGAGGGCAGAATATGTTCCATCAATGTAAACAAAGGGTTAAAGCAGGTCATAAAAGTGTGTTGTGTAGCTCTACACACACTGTCCTTGGTCTGCAACAGCCCCTTTTGAAGTAAACAGACTACAAATAAATCAAAAGTAAATCTGCATAATTGCTCACATAATTTGACCTAAGAATATTTTAAAAGTTGCTCAATCATGCACACAGTACGCAGTTTGTCCAACAACACAGTAGTGGTGATAGGTCACTTTGACTGTACCTTATCATTAAAAGATATAAAGACAGAGAGATGTGAACAATGGAAAAGACTCACTGTATCCTATTTATAAATGGCAGATCCGGAAAAAGAGGGGGCGATAATATGCAAAAAGTATGCATGGGAAACATTATTTTTTTACCTGATGATGCGTCTCTCTTTCTACGTTCGCCCCATTTACAGCCACCACTCGGTCCCCTGCGCGCAGCCCGGACGCCTCAGCTGGTGACCCAGGCTCTACTTTACGGATGTATTGTCCACTTTTCCCTTTCTCTCCATGTAAGTGAAATCCGTAGCCGTTCTCCTCCTTTGTCATGACACAAAGCCGCGGTCTCCTCTCGCTGGACATTTCCCCCATACTCAAAGTCTTTTGGGGAGGTCAACAAAGTCTTGAACTATGGGGCGCTCAGCACGGCAAACGTTTCGGTAAACAGCCACATAGTAAAGGCATTTCTCCACCAACGATTCTCTACCGAAGGAGAAGCAGCACAGTCTAAATAACACGACAAAGCGTGTTCACATTAAAATGCAAACAGAAAGTGTTACGTCTCCAGGATGAAACGTGCAAACGCTGAGCCAAATGCTGACACTTTTCCGTGAAAAGGCACGTCTTTGACGTCTTCTCCATCAACTCTCCACAAAGTCCACAAACTCACCGGGCGCCAAACAGTCCGCATTTATCCATAACAACTGGACTGGGATATGCGTTCAGCCGGAGTTTGCGCAGGGTTACCCCAAAGCGCAATAAAACCACCTCTCTCTCTCGAGCGCGGCCACAGGTTGTGGACTGTCAGACTGGAGACGAAGCTGAAGCAACAGGTCTTGTACAACACTGCCCTCCTGCGGTTTAAGCACGATCAGAAGCATTCACACTGTGTGAAAAAGAAAATGTTGTAACGTTGGGCTGTGCCTAAAACTGCCGAGTGCCGTTTGTTATTTTCTATAAATTATTAATTTAATTTTTTCGTCTTCGTTTTAAACTTGGTTCCCTAATTATTTAGCTCCTGCCTGGAGAATTAGGCCTGTAATGTATCCCGAGTTTCATTGTCTATACGATATTGATTGATTGATGAGGGCGTAACTTTGACTTCAGAACTGGTGCACAAAACTCACATAATTTTAACGTCTACGCCTTTCATTTGCAGAAGATTTCACTTCAACTTATTACAATTACGAGGAACGTTGTAATTGTCCCTTTCCCCAGCAGAGAGCGGTGAAGGAACATGTTTGTTGACTGCATTTGACCGCTACTCGATGATGACAGTACCAGACAAACTGTCAGACCTTTAAAAATATATATCATTTTAATCATTATTTCTTTTAGCACCTTGTTAGAACTGTTACAAAACCTAAGTTGAAAAAGCTGAGCCACTCAAAAAGTACAAAATAATTAAAAGTCTATATTACCACATCACAGATAAAGTTAAAATCACTCTTTGGCCTTTTGGAGTGACTCAACCTTTTCAGCTTTCTATTCGAGACTGCCCCGATACTGAAAAGCACCAAAAAGACAATCTTGCACGATCTTTACATACGTAGCACTCCTGGTACAGTCAGAATAAAACTGTGAGAAAAAAAAAAAGTCTGAAAAATCTGTTAAACTGGTAGAAAATCCAATAACCTATTTTTAGTACCACGTTAACGCCAATACTGACTCCCAAAATACGAATATAATGTGGGCCTGCCTTTATTTTGTATTTGTGGTCAGACCTGCCATCTACTGGTAGTACGAAAAAAAAAGTAGTACAGATGGTAGCTTTAAAACTGAGGTATTTTAATAGGTAGGCCTACATTTTGGGGGGGATTCTGAGCCAGACTTCTTTAGTATTTTTTATTTTTAGTATTTTTTATTTATTTTCAACCCATGAGTGCTGAAAGCAATGTGATTTGTTGCGTTGGGCGGTCCACCCCTCTTTCTGTCTAGAAAAAATCAGATCTGCTGGAGGTTTTTAGATAATAATATGTGATGATGTCATACTCCCAGATGGGGACAAGAGACAGTTTTTGCTCTTGATTACACTGTACTTGTAAATCCACAAATGTTGAACTTGATCACTTTTATTAGTGACTAGAACCATTATCTCACTGTATGACAACAGAAATCTGCATTTGAACAATATTAATTTAACCTGTCCCCATCTGTATTAAAGTTTTTTTGAATTTATTTTTTATTTTTTCCAAGAATGTTGCAACGTCTTGACATGACACTGATGTGCGGCATAGGCAAAGATAACAAGGTCTCATCTGGCAGAGTTGGGCTGGCGTAGTTCTTTATCACTTACATCTCTTTGTTTCTTTGCAGTAGATAATACTATAGGCTGCTCTCTGGAACATTTAAAGCCTGCTTAAGCGAGATGTTTAATCTTGTCACCTGCTCCATTTAATAAATCACTTTCCAATCAGGTCATGAAGCATCTGTTTCATGCAGACACTTTAAACAATGTCATTTTAGATGTTGTCGTCTTTACTGTGAAGGTAATTTAGCAAGAAATACAGTTAAAGTGTGTGCACATGCCATATAAAATTGGCAGATGACAGATGTTTTGCAGTGGTCTTGTTTTCTCACACTCTCCATTTCCTTTGCTCTACTCCCTGTAGACTACAATTATTCAGAAGCAGCATTGAAATACAATTGGAAGTGTCATGGAACAAGATTTTTAATCATGTCTACAGATTGCATTACTGATGGTAGATCTAATCAAATGTTAATTATAGCCAGCATAACATTAATTATGTTTACGACTCTTGGATCAGTTCGTTTCCTAGTACAGGTAAAGTTGTGTTTACAATCAAACTCCTGCAGTGAAGCCAGCGATCATCCATCACTTTTTCCTTACAGTTCACTTGTTATAAATGCAGTATGTCCTAATAACCACACTGAAGTCACCATCACAGATTGATCCCTGTCAAACTCACTTGTTTGTGATGGACAATTTTCCTTTGCCAAATAAATAAATAAACAAATGAATGAATAAAAAATAAGCCCTTTGCCCTTAATTTTATCAAACATTTCTTCTTCCACTTCTGAACACTTGGTAACTGTAGTGCCAGTGTTGGAATGTGCAGTGAGGAAAGGGAGTATAGACTAAAGGAAAGCAGACGAGGAGGCGCTGGTATCATGAGCTTTTTCTTATAGATGGGTTTGTCACAGTCTCTAAGCATTCACTTCACACACACACATGCACACACACAACCACATCCTGCAGTGAAATCTGTCACACAATGTTTATATGAGCCAGTGCTTGAAAACCCTGGGGAGAACATCACAGTTGTTTTGGCTTTACCCCTTTAGGTTGTGAAATGGTTCCAAAAATAAACTCAGACGTTATGTTCAAATTTCCATGTTGAGTGAAAGAAGGGCTGTCATGATCTGAACTCAATCCAAAGAAAATAATACTTCTGCAGATATGAAATATTTCATGTTGTTTCAGAATGTTTACTGAACTGGTTGAATTATAATCTGTGAAATGTCACAAATTTAATACAAATATCACCTAACCTAACCTTTTCAAAAACAGAGCTTAAAGGTCCTATATTATGCAGAAAAGACTCTTGTGAGCTTTTAGTCATGTTTAAATGTTGTTACCTCATCAAAATATGTTTGAGTAGTTCTTGTGTAGTCTGTTTACATCTCCAAAAGTGCTAAAAAAATAAAATAAAAAATGCTCTGTTCCACCTTGTGATGTCATGTAGTGGTTTTCATGTTAACAGCACCTCTTACCTTTAGTTCAGTAGAGATTGGCAATTCCAGGTCTGAAATTATCCAAATGATCATAGTGAAGCTGTATGGAGTTAAAAAACACACACACACACACACACAGTGGAGCACTTCCTGTATTACCACATGACATCACAGGGTGACACAGAGTGTTTTCTGTTTGAGAGAAGTACTCAGACTAAATATGCAGGGTTTGCGCGTTAAACATGTGTGAATGAAACAAAACACAACCTACTCCAGGTATGTTTGTGATGAGGAAACAACATTATAACACAGATCAGGAAATAGCGTAATATGGGCTCTAAAACAGAATTCACGAGTGTAAGTATCTCTTCTTTAAAAAATGGCAAACACAACCCCCTAATGTGATAAGACTTTTATATTTTGCTGGCATGGACACGACAGCAACACATAATCACAGTGACTTCCATCTTCACAAGTAGTGCATTAGCCTCTAGTATAGCTTTTGAGACTCAAGTTGCAATTTACATGTGCAGCCCCCAGCCCCCAGCCCCCAGCCCCGGTGTGCCTGCCTGGTGTTTAAGTGTCCGCATCCGTTCCATCTGTAATTGCAGATGACACTCTTGTGCTCCCTGCTGTGGACTCATCCTGCTTTCGTGGATTATATTGTACAGCCAGTCACCCAAATTTCATCAGTGGAGTGGTTAGAAAAAACTCCAAAAAGCAGCCTTTGTACCTTTAACCACATGGGGGAAGTGAATTGTTTCTTGCAAAATACTGTACAACCCCAAAAATGCAGATTTGTTTTCAAGTGCTCCTCAAATGTTGCAATAGCCTACATTATTTAAAACATTTGTGTGAGGAGGCTTCCAAGAATCTGAGGCACTGCAGACACCAAAGGATAAATAAAAAGTAGTTATTGCGACTTTTAACTACTACCCCCTGTCAAACACTTTTTAGTGCCATCTGCGTTTCATTAAACCTATTGTCTTGGAGACCAAACCAGACCAAGTTACATGCCAGATCTGTGGAGAGGCAACCCCTCTCACAGCCAGAATGCCTGTTTTTCTGTCTTTGGGCAATACAACCACCTGTAACTGAATAGATGTAATACAGATCTGTTTAATATCATATTGTGGCACATTCAAAGCAGAACAATGACATCCATAGAAAGAAGGTGACAGATACCTCACCAAAAATTTACATAGTGCACCTTTATGTAAAAAAATGGGATCTATACTTTGCTTGAATTTATATTTTTACTTTTACTTCACTATATTTGAGAGCAGCTATCTGTACTTTCTACTTCACTAAATTTTTTTAAAAGGACCGAAAAGTAAAAGCATTTTTTAAAACTGTTTGAGACCTGATGGTTTATTTTTAACACGTTCATAGTTTGAGCAAACAAAAATATACAAATAAAAACAATCAAATCACTTGTTTCCGGTGAACAATGACTACATTAAAAGTTTTATTAGATCACAAAAAATACTCAAAAATACTTTTAAATACATTTTTAAGTGGGTATGTTAATACTTTTACTTCAGTAATTTTTTTCAAGTGATATTTTTCCTTTTACTTGAGTATTTTTTGCTCCAGTATCTGCACTTTTACTTAGGTAACAGAAGTGAGTAGTTCTTCCACCACTGGTAGTAGACAATGAAGAAGCATAAAAATACACACTTCATAGTACTTTCTGGAACATCAGATCACCATACACAAATATTATAAAAGTGTACTTAGACCAACTTAATACTTCCAGTAACTTCAAGCACAAAGGCTCTTTATTGTTGAAAATATATGTTCTGCATTTTTAGGAATAACATTAGTCTAGTCAATCATTACAGTACACTGGTCAGAACATCTGAGAACTCTGTAGTCAGCTCTCAGCAAGTTATTAGAAAAGTTAAATCAGTAACTCAACAGCCTCCAGCTAGCCAGCTTATATTTTATAACCCCCACACACACACATACTCCCCAATCAACGACGTCCCAGAACAACCCAGTACATTTCAGAACATTTCAGTGTAAATGTCAGGGTTAGGTTTAAATTGACACAAATATTTAGCTGTTTGTACATTTGTATTGACCTGTCAGTGTTCAGTGGGTCACAGTAATGGGAAGAATACTTTGAAAATGTATTTAGTTACAGAAGACTGAATACCTGCACTAAAATGTATTTTGTCCGATACATGGGCCAGAGTACTGCATTCTGAATACTTAGAATACTTTCCATTTAAATTAAAGTGTTATTTAGGGTTAAAAACAGCTTGATGTTTGTCACTAAACGGAGAAAGAAAAATTGCACATGCGCTCACCACGAGAGCAGTGTTTTCTATTTTTTTTCTCTAATATTTTGCAATTTGAAGACTAAATTGTGTATTCTGAAACCACCGAAATAAAGTTATTGCAGAATTCAGACTACATATTCTCATTTTATGTATACTTCCCAACACTTGAGGTAGATGTAATTTTTAATTGATTTTTTTTATTTTTTGTATGCTGTATTTATGTGAAAATCATCTGTCATCCAATTTACTGAGGCTCAAGGCACTAAGCACATATCAGTGCACTAATGAAGATGTGGTTTGCTGTAAATGGCTCCTTTCAGTCCATCGTTTGCTTTGAACACATGGCGGATATACATTTCGTTAGCCTAATAGCATAATTGCCTAAGTCCTTTTTTTGGCCAAATTGTGATATCTGCCTAAGTTTACTCTCCTACCACTGCTGCATCACCCTGCCTTATTGCCTTTGTCCTCAGCCATCAGAACACTTGTTAGAGTCTAAAATCACTGTCTGCCTTAGTCATCTCTATACAATATCAATAAAAAATACCAATGTGCTTGCTAAAAATTGTGTTTTTTCTTATTTTCTGAGAACGTTCAAATATGACTTAGGCAACTACTGGCTAACAATTTGTTCACAATTTGAGCAGAGCGAGATCAGGAGTCTTTGTTTCTCGTATCAACACTGTCTGGTGAATGACTGACCTAAAGAAGCCCAAAAAAAATGCTCTGAAAATATAGCAAATGTTTGTTGGGGATAAAATAGTAAAGAAAGTTTTAATTTGTTCCCCTTTGACAGAAACTCATCTACGGCTTCAGTCTAAATCAACATCATTAAATGTAAAAAGAAAATAAAAATGTTTCTTGGAAAAACTGTCCCGTTGACAGAATCATACCTGCATGAGTTATTGCACATACGTAATTAAATGTAGTTGGGTTTTTTTTTTTATTATTAATAGGCGCTTAATAGGTGATCTAATTAGCTTTTCCCAGGAAGATGACATTGCCTGATGTTTTCCGCAATATAGCATTAAACCTGTCTTACTTCCATGAAACAAGCAGGACAAGTCTAATTGTGGAAAGGCGAGCACACACACCGAAAGAAACATTTTCAAGGTATTTTGGAGCAATAAAAACATGAAATTTAATAAACAAAAATATAAAAATACAGGTTTAATGCCATAGTCTGTAACATTCCAGGAAAAGCAATTGCATCTCCACTAAAGTCTAGTTTATTTAGCAGTATAATAATTACCCATATAGTTTTTGACCTGGTAGCTAAAGGCAGAGAAAATGGTTTAGTCTGGCAGCAACCCAAAAAAAAAGTATGTAGTATTAGGGCTAACAATAGGTAGCCAATAATTAATTATTATAATAGCTTTCTCAACTGTTCCACTGATAATTGTTGTTATTTCCACTTGATGCTGATGTTTGTCTTGTAACATAAAAATAGGACATTGTGCTATGATCCTTTTAATCCCTTGTTGTATGGCACAGAACCAGTTTGAAGGAATAGAAAGATAACAATGCCTCTGTTGTCATTTGAGGACGAAGGATAAACAGGGTTAGTTGCTGTTGACACATAAGAGCTCTGAAAACATATGATTGATGTGGGTCCTACACGAGAGACTTCGCAAGGCAATGGAGAGGAAAAACCTGGAAGTGGGACCTGTTTCGTGGAAGTCACAAGTGAGTTAAAATATTTTGCCGCTATTCAGTGTTTGATAAAAGCAGCTCTTTGAAATGACATTGAGGCTGTCAAGAGCAGCGTGACCATAAACACCGGGGTATCCAGAATCAGCAGGAGCACTGGAGTGTTTCTACCCATACTGCCATCGCTTGTCAGTAAACACATGTGCAATAGGGGCTGAGACTGACAACGTAAAATGGATGGTACATGGCTTCCTTATATTTCAAAATAGTTGTGAGTAACACAATGTTCTTAATACATTACTCTCAGCTATTTTACATGTTTCAGCTGTACTGTGTGGACTGTCAATCCAATGTTTGTGGTTCTGTCTGAGAAATTTCCCACAGCTGTTTTTAGTTTTACCCCTTTAGACGCTCTGTGGGGATCACATTCTGGGACTGGGCAGGATGAACAACAAAACAAAACAAAAAAAATATATATATATAGAATTTAGTGAATAGATTTTGAGTGGGAACTTAAGTCCAAAGTATAGCTACGATAATAATACATGGGCTAAGATGAGACATTTGTTCTGTTCTAACGACCACTGAAGCCACCACCAAACACACAATTGAAATTTAGCGAATATGACTTTGATTTACTTGAACTGATGAACTATGAAACTGTGCTATATATACAACTGTAAAAGATTTGCAAATAACCACAAGACGACAATAAAATGGCGAAGTACAGTGAAACAAAATGGCGCATAAAATATCCAACACAGCAGAATTGAGCGATTTAAAGGTGCACTATGTAACATGTCTGGTGGAGGGTTTGCCACCTACTTGTTTCCATGGAGATGTTATATCTTTGCCTAGAATGTTCCTCTGTATCTGAATCTACCTCCATGGAGAAAAGCTGGGAATACCACTTGGCCAAAATACAGTCAGATCTATGGAAGGGCGAGCCTGCTAAAAGTAACAAAACATGATACAAGGAAAAGCTACATAGTGCACATTTAAGAATTTATAACATTTCTATATTTACATCTAGTTTTAATAACAAGTAAATACAACCAGACACATAACAATCGTACAGTACAATATCAGGAATGTACAAATTGGTTCCATGTGTTCTCAGTTTCTTTAGTCACATAGTCCTATTAAAAAAACTTGAAATTGTCCAAGCAATTTTAAAGTTTACAACATGGAGGACTTCAACTGCTCATTGTTGGTTTGGGAAATCCTCTCCATTTGGACACTCTGTAAAAATACAACAGAAGAATTGGTAGATTAATGGATGTAGCACAAATATGACTGTGAAAAACTGTTAACAAAATGTCTTTATCTGATGTTTCATATTTCTGTTTATTGAATGAATTGTCATCAGTGTTGACTATGTGTTCAAATCAAAATATCTGCTTTGTGTCAACATAAAACAATTCCATATAACCAAAGTTCGCCTCCTCACCTAGTTGCCCGTTGTACCATTCTTTGCTCTCGGTGAACCTGGGACTTGGGTGGGAACTGTTCGATCTAGGTTTGGCGTGAGGGCCTGCTGATCCACCGTGACGCCCTCAGCAGATTTGTTCAAGCAGAGAACATTCTGGAAACTCTGCTTGAAGTTATCGGACAGGAAGCCGTAGAGGATGGGGTTGGAGCAGGAGTTGACGTAGGTTAATATGACCAGGATGAAGTAGATGGCAACAGTAGTGCTGCTTTCAGGGATCGTATAAACCAGGTTGACGATGTTGGTGATAAAAAACGGCAGCCAGCAAAGGACAAAAACCAGAACAATGATCACCACCATGCGGGTCACCTTACGCTCGGACTTTCGGCGCTTTGTCAGACCGGCTTTTGCACCTGCTGACCTGACCTGAAACCATTAGAAGAATGACTTGATTTAATTACAAACGTCACATAATCAAATACAGTTGAATAAAGGTTGTTTTCCATTACCCTGATGACAAGCAGGAGGTAGCACAGGCAAATCACCACGACTGGACCAAAGAAACCCAAGATGGACGTGACGAGGATGAAAACATTGGACCACAAGTTCTTGGGCTCAGGCCATGTTATGTTACAAGTGTTAAAATTCTCTTGCACGTTGGAACAGATTGTTACCGGCAACGCAATGAGAAAGGAAACTACCCACATCATTGCGTTGAGTATCTTTGCCACCTTTGGCTTTCGCCACCTGACACTCCTCATAGGGTGAACCACAGCTAGGTACCGATCGATACTCATCACCGTAAGGCAAAAAGTAGAAGTAAACTGGCTCATGATATCAGCTGTCATGTATATTTTACACAGGAACTCCCCATAAGGCCAGTAGTATAGCACATTTTGAGTGGTCAGGAAGGGAATACCAAGAATATAGAGTTCATCAGCCAACGCCAAGTTGAGAATGTACAAGTTGGTCACAGTTTTCATCTTGGCGTAGCGGACCACCACGTAAATAACCAGCGAGTTTCCAAGGAGACCAACGATAAATACAATAATGAAGACAACAGCAGTGGCCAAAGTGGTGACAGTGTCAGACATTCCAGATTCAAAATGTGACTGGTTGTTGTTTTGTGAACTGTTGTGAATTCCAACATGGTCAATGTAGGCAGAGGATGTACCGCTATCATTGCCAGTGAATGTCCAGTTATAATCCCCCATCTTGATCGAGTCTGAAGATTGCAGAGGCAGCTGCAAAATCACAGAATTAGAGTTATTGTTTTGTGGGCAGAAACTTACGCACAAAATACAGTTGATTTATAAATCACAAAGAACATAAATTCATTGGAAAAATATTATGCTAAATGCAGTGATTGAGCTTTCTCTTGGGAGTAATTGGATATGGCAGCATTCTGGGAAAAATATGCATATTTGACATCTGCAACAAAATTGTCTGGGAAAGTATCCAAAATGTAAAATTTCTTGTCCTTGAAAAAACTTTGGATATGAGCACTCAAGCAATATGTAGCGTACTGCAACTTTCTGATTTCAACTGTGTTCAAGATTCCAAAGACAAAACTAAACAGTATAAAACATATAATAATAGGACATTGCCTGTTTTAAAATGCAGTACATTCTTAAAGGGAAGTATTAACTTACTATAAACTAATTAAACAGTTCATCATTGTGCAAATTGTTGCCCATACTGCTGGGGGCTTATTCTGGAAAAAGGCTAGCATGCTGACCAGGCTAGCACAATGACTCATAATAATCCGCTAATGTGAGACGAGCCTGGGGCCACTCGAGAGGCTTCAGTTGGCTTGTGGATGACCTAAAGTAATACTACCGGTGATTTCTCTTTTTTTTGCCAGACATAGCAACTTGTGGCTATGAAATGTGTTTTACAAATAAATGGTGTGACGTTGGGACGCAGTGAACCATGCACATAAACATGAAGGGTGACGTGCGGCCCGCAGGAGCATGTTGGGAAAACAAACATGTGCCGGCTCCAGGAGCTAGACTGGACACTGCAGTAGGCACAATTCACAGAATCAATGAGGACATAATATTGTTTGGCAAAAAGTCATCTACTCAACAATAACATGCATACAAGCAAACTGTATCTTTATAAACATTTATTTTAAATTGGAATCTGCTATCAATAGTCTAATAAACTACGAGACCATTTTCAAATAATTTTAGCAGATTTCACTTTTTTTTTAATTTTTTTATTAAATTTCCCCCACACAAAATGTTGGACTTGTCTGCACTGTGTGTATCAGATCAATGAATGAAACTTGCTTTTGATTGATTAAGGTTTATACTGTAGGCTATGTGCATGTTGGTATGAGAATCATGCCTTCACAGCTAATGTTACACAAAACGCTTCTACTATTGTAGAAATCATACAACATATTCTATGCAACAGTTACTTTAATGATGTTAGCCCCATCTTTGAGTGGATAAGAGGTTTCACTCTCTTGTCCACTCAGAATATTTCACCTCAAATTATGTTTTTAAATGTATTTGGGGATTCTAACAGTAATATTACAATATGACACTGATGCTAATAAATCATATCTTGAATCAGGAAGAATCAAAAGGAAAAGGTTAAATTTAGTTGGTTTAAAATTAATGATGCATAGTAACAATGCACATTCTGTAACTTCAGTCAGTAAAATATCAAGATCAAGTATAATAATAGTAACAATCTAATGCCTAATATCACAGAACATTGTGATAAAGTTAAATTTTGAACATGCACAAACCTGTTGCTCTATGTACATCTCATCCTCCGGTTCAGCTCCTACTTCTTTTGCACTTTTGGGAAAATTACTGCGTTCCTCAAAGCTTACTCTTTTCTTTGCACACCAGACACTCCTCACGATTGGCTTTTCATCTTAAGTCGAGTTGATCCCGGTTGGCTCATTTTCCCCGTGAGTTGTGGACACTTGTCACCTGCGCATTCTTTAGGAAATCCTCTAAAGGGGAGCACAGATGAGCACAGAGGCAAGTCAACAGTATTTATGTGAACGGCCACAACCCTCTTTGGATGTGAAAGTCCCACCCACTGGGAAAATGGCAATTACTTTACAGTCCAAAGTGGAGTGTGCAATGCTCCCTCCTTCCTTTCCTAGACAGACTACATACAAATGTATTCTAGTAAATAATAAAATTATAACTATTCAGCTGAACCAAAGGTGTTTGCTTTGCAGTAGAACACTTTAATGGCGTTATTCATTTACTTGAGAATAAATCTATAAAAATCAGATAAGGAGAGAGGGTTTTCGAAACAAGCCTCCCTAATTTAGCGTCGACAGGTGGTACGTGTCCAATATTTCATCCTTCATGTTTTTCCACCTGCAGCCCCAAGAAAATCATTAGTGATAGTTTGAAGTTGATGATATATGGGACCAGTCGGACCTGCTGAAAAAGACAGAAGAGGCAGATTTATGGACATATGATATAAAAGTAAACAGTGCCACCCAGCTGTGTGACAGAGACAGTGATTTGTGTGGCACTGCTCATATCACCAGGACAACAGCACGGTTCATTACTGCTCTGTGTGCACTGGCATTTAGTGTCCAACCTCCAAGATTATTGTAGAAATAGTATATGAAACAACCACTTTATATTCAGTTATGAAAAGCTGTAATAGAGATTTGTTCATAAAAAACAAAGATAAAAGTAAACAGATTTGTCAAACTTCAGAAGAGAGCTACAAAATGATAATGAAATGATAATAAAAACAGTTTTTATGGTTTTCAGACATCACATTCTTTCAGCCAGTGCCACATATCTTTTGATTCCCACAGTTACCTTTGCATAGTAGAAACGTATAGCTTTATAGGCTGTCCAAAAAGCATCATAACAATAGAGGTTTGGAGTGTGTGAAGCTGAAGTACACACAAACCACCTTAATAATAAAGAATGCACAAAGTCAGTGATATATATTTATATTTCAGTTCTCAGGCCAAAAGTGTTATAAAGTGTAAGGTGCTGTTATTGAGTTCAAGAGGGACACTGGCAAGTGGCTTCTCCTTTAAAAATATATGCCTTGGAAATTAAAAATGTATCAAAAAATTCATCCGTGGTGATATGTGTGAGAAATATGTGACGGTGGTTTCAGTGGTTTCAAGGAGCTATCAGCCGGAATACATCACTGCTTCACCTCTGAGCAAATGTATTGAGTTGACTGAAGAAGCCTGGCGCCTATAGGCTGGTCTGGGTGGCTCTGAGCAAATCAATACCTCTTGATGTCTGTGGCAGCACACGAGACATCTACATTATAACTCTGAGGGATGAGAACACAGACTCCGTCAGGTGATTTACAAGTCCATGTGAAGATGAGTGGGGTATATGCAATATGTGCAGGCTTAGTTTTGACAAAACTGGTGCCTAAAGTGAAGTTTTTTTTTCTTTTTTTTTGGAACATTACTTATTTCTATTTTTTTCATGATAAGAAGACTTATCATGAAAGGCTTGGGGGTAAGTTTGGTGTAAAGAACACTACGAATTATTCAGCAAGAATACTTTTAAGGGGTCAGTGTCTTCCTGAACTATGCTCATATTAATGTAATATTGTAGGTACATATAGACATATTATATTACATATTATGTTGCATCTTGTGCAAATATCTACAAATAAATGTTTTTTATTTATTTATTTTATCTGCATCCAAGTGCTGAGTGTTCCTGAAATTGTAACATCACAAACAAAATTTGGCACGGTGGCTGAGTGGCTAGCACTCATGCTTCACAGCAGGAAGGTTCCAGATTTGATCCAGGCCTTTCTGTGTGTGCATGTTCTCCCCGTGTCTGGATGGATTTTTTCCAGGCACTCCGGTTTCCCCCATCAAACCAAAAAACATGCATCATAGGTTATTGAGTCCAGGAAGAATAACTGTATGGAAGCACAGCTAATGGAGGCCAAATAAATACAAATACAAAATTATAGAGATGAATGTGAAAATAAAACCTTCTAAACATACATTGAAAATGCCTATATAGCCTATACATCACACAATTTGCATAACTTTATCAGAGAGGGAAATACAGCTCTGTGTAATCCAATGACATAAGCCGCAGCATCATGTCCTTCCACACTACGGTGTTAGCATTATTAGATCCACCAGATGGGTTCTGTTTTGCTCTCATGTGGATAAGTGAATTAGCATCATTTAATAAAGCTGATGTAATGATACAGAGCAGAGCTGTGCTATAGTAGAGCTAACAATTATGTATCAAACGCTCACTGATGAGACTCCACATGCTGGTCCCTCCACCTGTTGGTTATACAGGAAACCTTCAATATTTGCCTAGCTACTAATGAGGCATACTTATACTGCAGAACTGGAGCCTACACGAGCTAGGACCACTCATCACTGCAGACGTTTAATGGAAGATAATGAGCATCAAAAAGTACGTGTGAATCTGAATGACTCATGTTTTATACGTGGCCACTGAGGACTGTCCGATGGGATGTAGCAACAATTATCTGACACTGGTCAAATTCAGGAAGAAACACATACGTATGAATATATTAACATCTAAATAATGAGGAGAATGAAGCAATTATGAAAATGTTTAGAAGCAAAAAGTTAATTAGCCTCTGTATGGGCTTAGACAACATTCTAAGCCCAGCAAAGCAATCATTTTATAAATGTATAATGGTCTTAATAACACCAACAAGTGAAAATAAACTATTTTTAGAGTTACTTACTGAACTAACTTCGAACTTACCAATGGTTGGGAATGGAGCTGCCAAAAAGTGATGCCCTTTTTTTCAGTGACATCTAGTGGTGCTCCAGAGGGTTTGCAGAAGCAGGATAAAGATGGCTGCCAGACGGTAAGATGTTTTTTTTTTTTTTTTTTTTTTTTAAGTGGCCTACATGGATCTATAATTTATATTTAAAAAAAAATATATTGTAGTTCTATGGTAGCCTATTGCAGAAAATATGAGAATGAGTACAGTGTTTTCACCTGTACATTCAGTACTGCTATGTAAAATATTTTCATGTTTATTTGACTCCTTTCACTTCAAGGGACGGTATGTAGGATTTTTTATTTCAAATTTCATAAACACAACCTGTTTGTGTCCCCAGATACAAGATAAACATTTTCAAATCAAAATCCCTTTTCCTGATAACAACTGTAATGTTCACTATTATTCTGGTAAAGCTTACATCAGTTTACATTAAGAAGGTATCAGCAACAACACACAGAACACAGAAATAAAAATATATATGAAAACCATCTACTATATAATTCCCCAATGAAGAATAGTTTAAATAACACAATTTAGATGAGATGTTAGATTTTAGATTATGAACAAAAAATGCCTTAATGCACTCTGGTGGTATTTATTTCATTTGGCCTATTAATGTAACTCTTATCATCCAAGTCAGTTTTTATGACATGGTTTTGTTTTTTAATCATTAATTAATTCAAGTCTTGGACATTACTTCACTTATTCAGCAAAACCACAAATAGGTTTTACTCTCTTCCCACAAAAAACACTACGTAAATGGAGTAGACACTGTCCAGTGTGTAAACAATTGCATTAAAAATAGTCATGATAGTGATTACTACAAGTTTATCCCATGAACAGAGGAAACCACAATTTGGAGGTTTGGGATTGTTATGGAAACTGTAGAGCGGCCATATGACCATTGCAGACAAATACATCAACGCTGCGACAATGTTGTAGACAGTGACCACTATTTCAACTGAGACCGGTGAGTATGACGTTAGCTGGGCGGTGCAGATAACAATTATGATGATCGTAAAAATGAAGCACAATGAATACACGGACACACACCACTCCAGTTCTGGTTTCTTGAAGTACTGACTTTTGTGCATGGAGGTGAAGATTATGCATGCAATGAATGTCTCTAACATCTTCATGATCCCAGGCAAGGTGGAGAGGAATCCAATGTGCTCCCCCTGTGGTCGAAGCCGGTTTAGAACCACCTCACCAACGTAGACCAAGAAACACACCCAAGACAAGACAGAGGCCCCGATCTGGCAGTGGCACCTTGGTCCGCTCGTTGCTGCTCCTTTACAAGTGAAGAAGGAAGAATAAATAATGGATGCAGTGAAGAGCATGAGGCTAGCTAGCATCGCAAAAGCAGTGATGAAGTCCTCCCATCCAAAAGGCATTTTGGAGTGCATTGTTGTAAACTCCATGATGAGGATGAGTAGGGTGACGAGGAAGCAGAAGCACCAGGTAAACATACACCATGACCAGTACGAATTGTTGACATGTCCAACCGAAGCCACAAGACTGAAAGATATACAAGATAAAATGGCAGCAAAGATCCGCAAGATGCCCACAGGCTGAGTGAGCGCCCGCAAATCCACAACAGTCATTGTCAAAGTAGTTAAGATTGTTTTATCAGAGATGTTCAAATAAGTTCAAACTCTGAACAGAAAAAAATTGTCCTCGTCATGAAATCCATGTATCCCAAAGGAAAGGTGGATAGGATAGTGCTTGAAACCGAAACTCAAAATGCTCTGCCGCCTATTCAAATGCAGCATCTCCGCCTTATCTCTGTTTATGGCCTTGTTTCATACTAGTGATTGGTGGAAGTTATCATGTTCACCTCCCAACTCACTAGTGGACTATTGTCCTCTTATTGCATGCACTGCTCACCAACCCACACCTTTTTTTTCATACAAATTAGAGTAAACAAATACAATACTAGATGATTTACCAATTTGTAATGGCACACTGAAGGACCTGCCATACAGACCCCATACAACTAATAATCATAAATAATGGATTTATTTATTTTATGAGCAATTTCAATCCAAATGTTTAACAACTCTTCTAAACACAGATGCCAGATATAGACTGATAAAAGCAGGACTGCCAATCTATGCCATCAGACCCCCCAATCACCACCAATCAATCACTCACACATACACTACAGTTTTACATAATTGAGGTGAGTGAAGTGTCCAGTGAAGTGCCCAAAAATACAACAACAGCACATAGTAGTCATTGCTGGAATTACGTGAATGACCTAAGTACTGAGTCACTACACCTCCCCATATCTTGCATGATCATAAACTTGGTGCACATGTCCATATATGTCCAATATTCTGTAACACCTGTACTTCCTGTTTAACTTAAGGTCTGAATGCTCTCATCACATCAAAGGTAATGCCTGTCACTCAGACATCATGATATTTATTTATGATTAATTACAGCATTTGGCCGAGACCATTGGAAAATACAGATCATTAACTGGTTGGAGCACGCAGGGTTAAATTACATACCAGTGTTGAGGTTGGCCTGCAGTTAATGTTTTATCACTTCAAACGAACACATTGATTGTAAACCTTAAAGGGGTGTGTCCATAAGAGGGGGGTCTATTGAAACATATGACATATGCCTACAGGTATGTCCACACTGACACACCTTTGCAAACTCTAATTATCACAATATTACACCAGGGCTTTTTTCAGCAGGGCTTTTTTTGTCATTAGCAATTATATTGTGTGGTGAATAAAGGCACAAGAGCCAAACTAGTACTAAATGAAATGAATATGGTTACCAATGTCATTTGTATGTTTTTTTTTTCCTTGGAAATTTTTGATTTGGTAAACTGAGTAAATGAGTAACTGGACTGTAACAGGTCTGTATCTGATCTTGTCACATATGTACGACCAAAAGAAAGCATTTATTACACTTTTAATAGCTCTAGGCACAAAAAGTTTGGAAGTGTATGTTTTCATAATATATTCTTTTTCTAATTTATTTACACTTTACATGATAACTATGTCCTACTAACAAAGAAAACCAGCCTCATTGAGTAAACAGTATCCACAATATAGGCAATGAGATTGACACAAGTCATAAAGGAGATCACCACCAACTTATTCCACTGACAGTTATAAAAGGTGTTGCAGATGTTAGGTCTTGGATTGTTCTTGAAGCTGTAAAATGGCCAGATGACCACAGCTGTAATATACATAAGCACTGCCAGCATGTTCACAAATGTCAAAACTTTATCAAATGGTGCAGGGAACAGACTCAGCAATCGACCTATGGTGAAGAGGATGATGAGAAGGGCAAAGATGAAGCAGATGCAGTAGACAGCCACGCACCACTGGAGACCAGGATACCTCGTGTACTGATAGGAGTTCAGGCAAATGAAGATAATGCAGGCGACAAAGGCTTCAAGCACTTTCAGAAGTCCTGGAACGGTGGAGAGGAATCCACTGATCTCCCCAGGTTGAGCCCGGGTCAACCCCACCTCAATGGCGTACAAGATGAAGGCCAGGCAGGAGCAGACACTGGCACCAATCTGTCTGGGGCAGTTGGAGCAGGTGTAGTTTACAGGGTAGATGATGGAAGCTGCCAGGATCTGTGTGGACAAAAGAGTTAAGTTAGACATTTCTTTCTCTTTAAAAAAGTTTAAGGAACAATGTGCGAGATGTGAGAAACAATCCAGTGTGATGAGTTGATGTCTGCCCTCCCTAATTGGATAGTTCTCTCTTTCTCAAGGAAGAGCTTATAAATTTATAAGACTTCACTTTTCTTCACCTTGTTAACCTTGATTTAGGCATAGTATGTATTGTTGTTAACAAATACAAAACAGTATGCTTTATGAACAATCGAGAATCTAAAATTAACTATGTAAAATATGGTGTACTTCAAGGTTCCCTTTTGGGACCATTATTATACTAATGGAGATGTTCATGCTCTCAAATTAAATTTTTACCTTAATTCTTCAGAATGGTTTGAGTTGTGAAGTGTAAAAAAGTCTAGCTTTGTACTGTTGTACAAAGTGTATACTGTTTGTAAAAAATAATCTGTACATTTGATTCCAGGCACTGCATAATTCTCATTGACTTTCTAACAACAGACATTTATTTTATTTACAAATATCACACTAGTTTCATCAGTCCAAATCATGGAACTCTCATTTAGACCAACAAACCTCCATGTCATTATTCAATATTCAATATGTCAATATATTCACTTGACTTTGTATAATTTTTTATCATTGATTACATTTGGTGTACTTTGGGCATTGTATCAGTAGGCACTATATTTTAGAATTGTGACTCTAGTAGTAATGATCAACACTAAATTTTATTTGAAAATCTGAAGGCACTGCAGTTTGTTTTGATTTATCGGTATAATCTTTTTAAGAATTGCACAACATACCATCAGTGTAGCGAGCATAGCAAACGCACAGGTGAAGTCCTCCCAGGAGATGGGCAGCTTGGAGTTGAGAGTGGTGAACTCAAAGAAGAGGATGAGGACTGTGAGAGAGAAGCAGAAACACCAGGTGAACATGCACCAGGTCCAGAAGGCGGCTGTGGTGGTTCCCACTGAAGCCACCAGGCTGAAAGTGATACAAGTCAAGACCACCTCCAGGACACGCACTATACCCACCGGCATAGTACATGCTTTAAACTCCACACTGACCATGGTGCGTCCACTTCTCAACAGCAACAATTTAAGCTAAAATCACTCAATAGTTTTCTTTATCTGAAGGCACTAGCTGTTCATCCTATCAGCCAGGCATTAATGACACAGAATCCACGATAGAGGTGGAAGGTCTGGCCGCTCCCATTTAATACTTCTTCCACAGAACCAGTGCGCAGGTGCATAGCAGGATGTGTTCAGTGTTTGCATAGTGATGTGCGCTTCCATGTCCTTATCAGTTGTGTACAGGAGGTTGGCCCTGTAAAATATTAAAGAAGAGAAGTGATTTTCTGACTATAGTCTGTATAAATAAATAAATATGTATTCTGGCAACAGTCTTTTAAAGGATATCATGACAATAAACCTTCTCACCCTGTCACTTGTATACAATTTACAAACTGAAGCATCCACTTTTAGCTTTTTAATGATGAATATTTGAAGGTTGGTCCTCATAAAAAATAAATGACAAACAACAAGATGACAAAAAAAATTAGTATTTACAACACATCAAAAAGATACTATAACCACTTTAGTAATGAGGCTACTGGCAGACAAATCAACGAAAAAAGTTCATGTTGTTTTGATGAAGTTATGTTATAGATAGTATTAGAAAGGCAATTAATTAGTTATATTTTTTCTAACTGGATTTATCAGGCCTACATACAATGGTAATAATAATAATAATAATAATAATAATAATAATAATAATTAAAGCCGCGCGCGGCGATGGTGGCCCTCGCCCCGGGCGCGCACCGCCCCCCACGCGACCTCCGGGGACTCGCGACCGCCCCGGCACGCCACCCTCTCTTCCCGACAGCTCCCGAGGCCAACAGCTCGTCCACCAGAAAAATTACACAGTGTACCTTTAAATGTTTCTGAGGAGTCATTGCGCCCCTACTGGGCAACCATGGAAAATGCCCAATATCCGTAATATACTTTTTAGTTCACAATCATGCATAGAATTTCATCCCCGAGTTTGGTACAAATCGGACAATGTAGACGTTGCATGTCTATGCTAGGGGGCGCAATAGAGTTCACTTTTATTAGATTTCAAATTTCATTACATTCAGGCCTGGATCACACAATTGTGATTTGAATTTGAGTTCTCTAGGCCAATGCCTGTGACCGTGACAGGTCACGGAAGAAACAGGACATGAAGGCGTTTTTCGCCGGTCTTGTCTCATTGTTCTCTATCACTGTCCCGAATTTCATTTCCCTGCGACAAACTTTGCCTGTCCCCACTCCCATAGGGGTCCAATTGTAGGCGGCGCTGTTGAGTCGGGTCACTCGGGTCATTGTTGCGATGCCCATTTTATCGAATTTTTCGCCGGGCCGATCGATCTGGACCCCGGTTTGGGGACTTTTCGTCCATGTTCAGGGGGTCAAAAATGCGATCGTTTGGTCGGAAAAGGGAATAAAAAATAAAAAAAAAGAAACCGACGAAGAACAATACGGGCCAATTAAAGCCGCGCGCGGCGATGGTGGCCCTTGCCCCGGCGCGCAGTCCCCTCCCACGCGACCTCCGGGGACTCGCGACCGCCCCGGCACGTCACCCTCTCTTCCCGACATCGCCCAGGCCGACAGCTCGTCCATTAGACACATTACATAATGCACCTTTAAATATTTTTTAGGAGTCATTGCGCCCCTGCTGGCCAACAGTGGAAAATACACCATGTCCGTTATTTATTTTTTTGCTCATAGTCATGCATAGAATTTATTCCCTGAATTTGGTACAAATCCAATAATGCTGACATGTCATGTCTATTCTAGGGGGCACTATGGAGTTCACTAGTTTTATAGTGTATTATGTTTAGGCCGTGATCAGGCATTAGTGATTCAAATTTCAGCACAATCGGACTAAACCTGTGTCTGTAATAATTTCTTAACTATTTTTTGGTGGAGTCTTTGCGCCCCTGCTGGCCAATGGTGGAAAATGCATCATGTCCGTAATGGACTTTTTGGCTTGTATTCATGCACAAAATTTAATCCCCAAATTTGTTACACATTCGATAATGTTGACGTTTCATGTCTATGGTAGGGGGCGCTATAGAGTTCACTTTTCATATGTTTTATAGTTTATTATATTCAGGCCGTGATCATGCATTAGTGATTCAAATTTCAGCACAATCGGACAAAACCTATGTGTGTAATAATTTTTTTACTATTTTTTGGTGGAGTCTTTGCGCCCCTGCTGGCCAATGGTGGAAAATGCATCATCTCTGTAAGAGACTTTTTTGCTTGTAATCATACATAGAATTTATGCCCCGAATTTGGTACTAATCCGATAATGTTGACGTTTCATGTCTATGCTAGGGGGCGCTATAGAGTTCACTTTTATTAGATTTCATATTTCATCACATTCAGGCCTGGATCACACAATTGTGATTTGAATTTGAGTTCTCTAGGACAATGCCTGTGGCCGTGACAGGTCACCGAAAAAACAGGAAATGAAGGCGTTATTCGCCGGCGTGCTACGGGCGAACCGTAAGGAGTATCCCAAAAAAAGATGTGACATGTCAAATCTGAGCTCATTTGGACAAAACCCCGAGGACTTGAATCTTTTTGTAGACCCCCAAGTCAAAACGGTGGCGAATCTTTGATCCAATATGGCCGACTTCCTGTATGTCATAGGGGTGCACAATGATTGACTTTTTCGCTTGTCTCCTTGAGTTCTATCACTGTTCCGAATTTCGTGACCCTACGACAAAATATGCATCTCAGCCCCCCATTCATTTTAAAATGTGCATTTTCAAGGGGGCGCTGTTGAGTAATAAGAAGAAACCGACGAAGAACAATAGGGGCGAGGGCCAATAATACTAATTAATAATCTATTTCAATACGTTGTTTTGTTTTAGATTGAAGTCTGAATAATTACCCTGGTGAGCAAGTTTAGTCAGTCAGAAGACATAGGCTATATTATTAGTCCATATATTCAGTTCCAGTAGTGTGATGCAGGCGTGGTCTGCACAGGGCAGGGCACTGATCTTACACTGTTCAGCCACTTGGAGCCGCACGCGCTTTGTTTGCATTTTTCTCGAAACGCAGGATCTCTACATCCCTTAATCAAGTGACGCTAGCCAACAAGTCAAAGTCAAATATTTCCTCTTTTATACGCATTTTCCTCTGATTTCAAGACCGTCAGTCAGGTGCGTGTTTTTACAGGATGACAATCACGTTATTATGGTGGGAAATAAACTTGTTTTACCTGCTCTGCTAAGCCACCCAAGGATGTAGGTTTGTAACCATGTTTGGGAATCCACTGGCAGCGTTGTTGTTGTTGTCTAAGGTCTTTAAGGCTGCATATAATGTAGAAAATAAGACATCTTAACATCTGACGAGCGTGATATAATAAACTGTAAGGGGAAAAAACTAAAGCTTAGCTCTTATCCCATACTTTTTGTGCTTTTATCTGGCACAATCCATTCACAGTCTTGTAAGATTGCGGATATTGAGCTCATTCAGATTTCACAATGTCCTCAAACTCCATTTAGGCTCTTCTGTCATCATACACTCTGTGCAATGTCAAGAGACTATATATATAGGGCTAGCTGAGATATGACACTTAAAGATACAGTAGTACACTAGGAGTTCTGTAACTTTTTAACCCTCACGCTCTCCTCGGGGTCACATTGACCCGAAGAAAAAAATGTTTTCCTTCCCGCTCTCTCGGGGCGGGTCAGTCAGACCTAAAAATTTAGGCGAGAAAATAATTTTTTGGGTCTGATTGATCCGCTCCAAGAGAGTGGGAAGGAAAACATTTTTTCTTCGGGTCAATGTGACCCCGAGGAGAGCGTGAGGGTTAAGACCTGGGATCCCTGTGGGTATGAAAATAATAAACCTAAGGCATCACAATAAAAGTGTTCAAAGTTTAAATTCCAACCATGTTTATAACCATATTTTGATGAATGATTATGTTTTCATAGTCTTTTTTATTGTAGGCCTAGTTGTTTCCATCAAAAACTTTTTATGTTTGGGATTGATCATAAGAAATTGTAGTAGGCCTTTTCTCTGTTCAGTTTGCCTAGATGGATCCACTTTATGGCAATAATTGACTGTTTTGCATTTATTTATTTGCACTGGTATTGCTGCTACTACACACACACAAACAAACAAACATACATGTATATACACAGAGCACAAGGCACAAGGTTTATCGTTTATGATCATACAAAATGAACAAGGAGAATGAAAAATATACAGAGTTTTGCTTTTGTTTATGGTCATACAAACTAATAAAAATGATATAGAAGGCCAAATGTGTATGTGTTTATGATTGTATTAAAAATAAAGGTAATGATAAAGAAAATCATAGAAGATTCTTCTAGGTATTTCTGTAGGATTTAATTTTTCTATTGTTTTTGAAGCGTGCCAAGCTAGTACAAGCTTTGATATGGTCATCTAAGCTATTGCATTTACTCCACATCTGGTAACATACATGCTTTTGAGAGTGGCTCGAGAGAATTGAGAGAGAATTCGGCCGCTCAGGTTGTATTTTAGTTCATTTGTGCGAAACAGATTTTGAATGTTTTCTGGGAGTAGGTTGAGTTTTGCTTTAAATACACTGATCCATGGGGTTGTAGTTTATGTTTTGTTTTGTAGTGCTGTAAATTACCGAATAAAAAAATACTACTAAAATAAAATATTATATTATGACATGTTATTTGACTATGATATATGATTACATTCTAAACTAATATTATGCCAATTTTATTACCAACAGAGGTTTTTGAAAATGGAAAAGGGATATGTCCCAACCGAATCTGCCCCTCCATACCCAGGGCCACCGATGAACTATCACCATGGGCAGACAGTTATGCACCAACCACCACATGGGGCATATTATGGAGGTAGGTCATTTAAATGGTTTTATTTTGAGTCATATTACGTGTTGTGTATATTTGTTTTGCTTTCTGAAACAGGTCCTTCGTATCCTTCAGCTCCAGTACTTCCTCCGTCAGGTGAGTAAATTATATATGCATCATCTACATCTTGTTTGCACTGCATCATGTTTCCCCAACACTCCAAGCAGCTTTTTACACGACAAATTCTACATTGCTTTGCTTGATTGAATGTGCAGTGTACCGGTGTACAAAATTCTCATTTACATAAGACATGTTCCACTCAATTTTGTCACAGTATATTTTTCCCCTTCTAACTGAATGGAAAAGATTGAGCAATACAAAAGACAACTTATCAGATACTGAAACTGAGGTTTATGGCATCCACTCAGGATTATACCTTTTACATAGTGTCCAGTGTAACAGTGGTTGCAAAACTACAAAATGAGATTAGTGCATCATGATAAGAGCTTGACAAATTCTATTTAGTATTTAAGGCACTTTTTGAATTCACTTTTTTAAAGGAAATTAACTTTTCCAAAATATTTGAAATGGTAAAACACAACTGATATTTTTGGTTGGGGAAAAAAATGCTTAAAATTAGTGGTCTGTGAGGTAGCTGTAGATAGGCCTGTCACGATAACAAGTTTTGAAGTATGATATATTAATGTAAAGTAAACATAGATAATAAACAATCATACTTAAACTAATAAACTAGTAAACCAAGAGCAGAATCAAACCACAGAAACTATTCTAAATCTACAATACTGTTAAAAAAATCATGACCTGCGATAAATAAATAGCAGAATGTAGCACTTTAGTATTTCGTTTCAAATGAGTCATAGAAGTTATTCATTCAGCCTTGTGAGACATATCTTATCATTTAGAAAGAAAATAACCAAACTTTTCCCTGTAGTGCAAAGAAACTGTGCACACATTAAATACTGAGCCCCAAAATATGTTTTTCCAGCTATGATATGTTGAATGATAAGCATAATTCTTATTACAGGCCTGGTAGTTTGGTTTGTTGGAGTTTTTTGTTTAGTTTTGCTGTCTGCATTAACCCCGAGTTTATGTGCCAAACCACAGAGCTTGTGGCACGTCAAACTTTATTTCCTGTCACATTCTCTTTTAACCTGAAAATGATTCACATGTTTCCCTTAATGGTTATTACATCCATAATACTTTAATATTCCAGTGACACATTTGTTCAAAGGTCACAGGATTTAGCAGGAGTGAATGTGTAAAGGTCTGTCTTGATAATTACTATATCGACTTATTGTTCAATATATGAAAGCAGGAACAATAGATTTTGGGCTCAGTATTAGTCGTGTGTGCAATTTCTTTACACTAGTGGGAAATTTGTGGTTATTTTTTTGGCTATATAAAAAGATTTAAGCAGCAGAAGATGACTTGCTACAGATGCAAACTAAATACTAAAGTCTTTCTTTCTGCTGTTTATCTATTGCAGGTCAACAATGACAATGTTTAATAGTGGCCTAAATTCAGTGTTATCATTTATTGCCTATATTACTTCAGCAATATATCACACTTCAAATTTTATTATTGTGACAGGCCTAGATGTGTATTGTGTTTTAGATGTATTAAAACTATTTCAGAGGAGTAAAATTTAATTCTGACTGATATCTCTATTATCCCTTCTAATACCTCTATGTATCAGTGTCTTTTTTACTTTTGTTTATGATTTTCTTTCTTATATATGCCATGAATAATGTGTCGCAAAAAGAATGAAAGAATAAAAGAATTATAATAACAGCAGCACAAATTGTATAAATACATTTTAATTAGGTAGGTCAAAAAAAAGTGCTATATGTGGCTCTAAATGTTTCACTTTTACCCTCATCTAAATAGCTTTTTTGTTTAATTCTATGGTGAATTCCTCAAATAGGTTTGGCACTGAAGCACATTGTGAGGAGGCTGTATTGTTACAGCCCTAGTCTTAGTAGAATAGCAGCATTGAAATACAACCCTCTCATTGTGTGCCTGTCTGATCTGCCTTTTATGAGACTGTTATAATATATCATGAGTTCAGCCATCTGTCAGCTGTAAAATTTGTGCATTTTTATCTTAGCTAATCATTATTTTGTATGTAGTAAAACATTGGCTTACACATTCTGGTATTCTTTATGTAACCAAATCAGTATATTCTGTCTGGAATTTCACTGTATTTGAATTACAGAGATAAGAAAAATTCAGCAGAACAGCTTGATACAAATGATAAGTGATTTCCTGTGCACATGCCTAAATATGAACTGCATTAACATTCTCCTCTACAACTCCTCTAAGTAACTTTTGTGGACATTGCTAAAGTTAGTTTTAGCTTGTACAATTCAAACAGAAGTTTACTGTAAATTCAAAATTCTCTTTATTTAATCACTTGGATCAGTGTTTTCACTTCCTCCTTTCCTCTTTTAGATTTATATGATAATGGGAGGGGTTTAACGTGAAAAGGGGCAGGACATACAATCGTGCTATAGTCCAGTACAAACCAAGAAGAGAGACTTTTCAGAGCTGCAGCCTTACTTGAAAATTGCAGTTTATTTTCGGATTGTAAAAGGGAAATTATTTGGTTATTTGGCTTGTGGTTCGGGAACACACAGGTAGGAAAAAACATGTTATTATTATTACTATAGTAGGCATGCAAATAAAACACTGAACAGAGACCTTAATGGATGTAAAAAGTGATATATAATAAAACATGTACATTTTCAAAATGTCTTAAAACATTTTAATGGTGGTAATCTGTAGCTTAACAAAACAGGGCGAGGCAGCACAACAGTAGACCAAATGGATGTGCAACATTCATGTGACATGGTGATATGGTTTGATTGATTTCAGGGACATTTTTGGGAAGATGTGGGGGATGTGCAAAGGATTGACCTGGTCTGGTTCCTGCCTTCATTTTTCAAAAACACAGACATGGGAAGATATAATTGGATTGTATCGCTAATGAACTCTGATTTAATCATAGGGAGGGTCGGTAAGGGAGACAGAAAACAGAAAAGGGCTAAGTGCTTTCAGGAATAACCCACACATGCTTCTTACCATAGTCTAAACAGACAGAGAAGCGATAGCAAATACTACAGTTAGTTTGTTTTTATAGCAATTTAGTACCCACATAGTTTCCACAATTGTTTATGGCTTTCCATGTTAGCCAAATGAGGTGCATGTGTTCACATTTTTTTATGTAACTTTATTTCAGTAGATTTGAGGATGGAAAAGGGATTTGCTCCAAATGAAGCTGCCCCTCCCTACCCTGGCCCAATGAATTATCCGGGAGGCCAACCACCAATGTATCCACCTCCACCAGGTGGCTACCAAGGAGGTAGGAAGCATATACATGTGCTGGGTGTGTACCTATGTTTTCCGATATCACTGTTCCCCAGTTCATAAGGGCAGGAAACAGCACTACCGGGGAACACTGGACTGACCCCACGCTGGAGTATCTCGGTTATAATTGGGATTTTTGAGTATCCTGGTTATGTGTGTGTCCATGTAGATGCAATATCCTGATTTCTCAGAACTGGTGCTGTTCTGAGCATGTGCAAACTAAAGTGACAGATACAGTAGGAGTGGTTACGTTCCCAAAGTCCCCAGTCTACTGTTTAATCCAACCACATTTTAACACCAGGATACACTGATTCCTCATGTATACAGAGATATATGAGTATCCTGGTTTCTCTGGGCGCACATAAACGCCATATTCAGAATACTGTCATAAACAGAATAAAACTCACAACCGGGATACTTGTGCGCATGTAAACACACTAATCTACTTTAATATAGTTGCCAGCTACAACACTGAGATATGTTTTATTTGATCAAACAGGTCCTCCTTACCCACCACAAGGTATGTAAAAAATGTATATAAATTAATTTTTCCTTAAGATGTCTGTGTGTTTTTAAAGCATATAGTGTTTTTGCTTCTTTTTAACAGGTCCTTGTTATCCACCAACAGCAGTGCCTACTACTACAGGTTGGTACAAAAATAAAGGTGCATATATAGTGTCTATTTAACCAAAACAAGAGTTAAATTTGTTAATCTTTTTTTGTTAAAGGTTCATTCTGTCCTCACTTTTAAAATGTTACCTGTTACTTCCTTTACATGTTTCAGGATGTAGGTAGTAGTAGTAGTAGTCATAGGATGTAAAGCAGGTATTCAAAGTAATTCAAAAATATCTCTGGAAAAAAAACAAAAAAACACGGTTACTCTTGTCAGCATTCCGAAAACTTTCCTTGAATAAGCGATAAGAGATGAACTGCACTGTCCTCTCAAATGCTAAAAACTAAAGTCTTCTTTAGTCCCACACTGGGGAAAAAAAAAGAAGTGTTCACGCTTGTGGTTATCATGTGACTCTGTGACATTCAATAGTTTCAAGCTGGATCACACCAACTGACCAAAGACAGCAAACCAAGTGTGCAGGATGAGAAAGGTGTGATAAAATGACAGTATACTGAAAATTTCCATTGACATCACACTGGGGGTGTTCTACATGTATCTTTATGGTATAAAGTTCATCAGTTGGCATGGTGACACAATGCACATACTGTATTAGCAAACACCAGAGGTAGGACCAAGTCGTTGTTTTACAGGTCTCAAGTAAGTGTCAAGACTTTGACCTCTAGTCCGAGTCAAGTCCCAAGTCAAGTATAGGCAAGTCTAAGTTCAGTCTTGAGTCACTGGCCCATAAGTTCAAGTCAAGTCCAAGTCATCTTTGAGCTTCAAGTCATTTCAAATCTTTAAACCAAAGTACCAAATATAGCTTTGTTTTTTGCAATTTATATGAATTTTAAACTAAATTGTACTTTAAAAGTCCTGGTATATTTATGAGTATTTATATAAGAGTTGTTGTTGGTGGTTTTTTTCCTTTTTAAATGTCTTCACAAGATCTTAGTGCGAATCATTATGGTTAGGATAGAAAGAATTAAGATTTAAAAGTGCTTAAAAACAGTTATTTTGTCATGTAATCTGCACTGAAATGAAAGGAGATGTAGTTTCTGTTTTACTGTATTGTACTGTATATTACTGTTAAACATTTGAGGATACCACATTACAGTACTTCAGTTACATACAAAGCAACAAATGGAGAAGTGAGAGG